ATAGATTGATGTAAATGACTTGCACTGCAATAGTTAAAAAAGCTTCTATCTTGTGCAAAAATAACCTTTCTTTTAAGTTAAAATTTATTACTGGTAGTGGTGAAGTACTGTTTCACAGAAGAAACTTAAATGAGTCCCACACTGCATTAATTACTCAACATTCCAGTGGGAAAAGGCAGTTCCAAGCCAAAATATGTGATCTAAAAAGGTAGGATGAGAAGTGGAAGAAAAGATATGCCCAGTTTTACAGATTGGAAGCCATGGCACTGACTGATTAAGGATTTTTTTAATGACCAGCCAGATTGCCTGTAGTCCTGCTAGATTTGTTTTGAGACCTCATCTACTGATGCCCAGGGCAAGGACTATAAAAAAACCTCACATTTCTTTCTCATCACTGGCATAAAACTTGAGTGGCTTTTTGAAAAGTGCAGTGCACATAGATTACAGGTGACCAGCACAGAGCTGGGACAAAGAACAGCTTCTGAATTGCTTGTGTGGAGGCTTTGAGATTTCTTGACAAACCAAATACTAGTCATTGCATGTGCTTTATTGCAGAGAAGTATTATAGAACACTCCTCTGAAATATATACCTTGAATTCAGCATCACAGCATGCTTTCCAAATCACCAGGACCATAAGAATCTGTTTGAAGCTGATTTAATTTGCTTAAATTACCTCTCTTGTCGAATGCCTGCAGCCATGAACTCTTGCCTTAGTGAAGAAGCTTTGTTATTACGTTGGATCGTGTTGACACCAGAAACTATTAGTCCTTCCTTTGAAATGAATTCTTTTATGTCCAGAAAATGCTTAGATTGAAGAAGTGGACTGTGGTTTTCCAGTGCTTATGGGTGATAAATCTGCAAATAGAAAAAGTGGAGAAGGTGTTATTAACAAACTTAAGCCAGCAGGGCAGGCCAATTGGTGCTTTCCCCAAATAAGTTCCTCAGGCATGTCATGAATTAATTGTCTAAGGTAGAATAAAGCAGGTTTAATTATGAATACTTTTCTGAGTAGGGATGTTGCAATTAGTTATTTTTGAAAGATGTCTTTATGGGGCAATTTAAATACTATGTATATCTTATTCCCGACTGCTATTCAAAGTGTTAGTTTGCTGTTCTCCAAGTCAGTTCTTACTGTGTGGTTTGAAGAGTGAACAGCGTGGTTTTTCTCAGGTATGTATCAAACATATAGAAGAAAAAGGTCTTTTGTAGTAATTTTTATAAAGACAGTTTCCTGTTGCAAAGCTAAGATACACAGGTAATTTTGTTATATCTAACAAATAACAGACAAGAAAATATTATTTAATGATTACTAGTGAAAATGTTGAAATTGATAGTGGCAGTTTCTGTAAGAGCCCAACAGGTTTTCAGCAAAAATTAAAAGTAGGTGCACAACCTCACAGTATCTTCTTGTTCCTTACTGAAAGATGTCTGTTGCTCCAAAGACTGTTAAAAATAAGTCCAAAACCTAAACCCTTAACAATACTGGACACAGTGCATGTGTACCCACATGTGTACCACCGTGGATATGCATATGTACCCACATTTCACAAGTTTGGGGTTTTTTTAGGTGATAAAGACCAAACAGTATGTCTGTGATTTTCTTCTTTAAAACAGGAAGATATTAAAGAATCACTGCCATGAATCACCGTTTGGAACTTTGTTGTCATTTATTGCTCTGTATCGTCGTTCTTCGTTTCCCAGCACTAATTGGCCTTTGCTTCTGTCTCTGTGTCTGTTTCTGCATGCTTGTGCTGCTCTGCACTCTGGTTTTCCAACTCTCTGATTGGGACTTGTCGCTTCTCTGAAGGTCTCTGCTGCTCAGTAGTTGCCTCCTCAGTCTGTCAGGACTGTGTCCACTCCTCTCAATTTAACTTTATTCTTCTCCTGCAGTCCCTACAGCTCTCAGGTTTCTGTATGGTTTTCCATTTCTCATTCCAGACAGCTATTATATTTTGTGGGTTTTTTTTAGTTTAGTTTATTTTTTTTTGATTTTTGCTCCTGCAAAATAGCTTAATTTTCTACTTTACTAATGAACTATGGACTTCCTTTTATAACTCTGTGAAGAAATATCTATGCATGGTGATTTCTCCATAGAGAAAGTGGAGGCTATAAATATGGAAATATCCCTTTTGGCTTTACAAAGTTTAATTGCTTTGTATATTATGCAGATTCTGAGGCTGAAAAATCTGATGAGAGGAAGTAACACGTTTGTCTATTCACTATCTTAAAAATGCAGGCAGATTGCTGAGAAGTGTGCCAGTTTTTTTGAGTTTGCAGGTTTACGTCTTGTTGCTGTTATTACAGGCTGTGTAGGGTGCTTGCATGGCTGAGGTTCGTCACCGAATGCAAACATCATGTTTCTAAACTGTGCATTTCTCAAAGCCTGTGAAAAGCAGTTGGAGCAGGTGCTGGTGCCACCCTTGTACATGCTGAGATCACAGGAATCAGAGCTGGAAGGGACCTCAGGAGATGAACCAGTAAATCGCTACCCTAAAGCAGGATCAGCTAGTTCTGAACATTTCCCAACAGTCACAGGATTTTTAGCTTGAGGCAATAAATCAAGAAGTTTTCATGCTGTGTTTGATACTTTAAATGATTTTTCTTTTATTGGTGAAAGTATAAAATGGAGGTGTAATCCATGATATTTTACTGTGATGCCTGAAAATCGTTTGGTTGGTTGTTGGTTTTTTTTTAAATGTATGTTCTTATGGTGTCTGCAAAAGGTCTGGGCCCTGAAGTCAGAAGTTCCTGGCAATATTAGGGGTGTAAGGTAGGCAAACTGAAATGCCTCACAAAGTTAGGAGTCAGTATAATGCTTCAGGTGCATACTTTCTCTGCTCTGTTGGTTTTTCTAGTGACATTAGAAGAAGGACTAACCCCTGAACACCCCGTCAGAAGTGCAGGCTGCTATGTTTTAGCTATCTTTGAGAGAGAGAGAGATTTAGATATTAATAACTAGGAGTCTTCCAGTGTCCTAGTTTCAAGGATCACCATATTCAGAGAGATGGTGTGCTTTGATCTGGCCACTTGCCTTGAAGTTTTTCTTCACTAGAGGCAAATGAGAAAAAAAAGAAAGCAAAAGTATTGATTTGCAAAATTCTAATTAGACAACATAGATACAAAATTTCATGAAGGAAGATGGAAAGAAAGGAAATTCAAATTGTTCATGTATTCCTTAGAATAGTTCAAAATATGTCTTAATTTTAAGATCCATCTTACAGGCTGTTAAAATATTCAGAATCCTGTGGCTGAGAAGCCATTTCTGCATGGATCTAACCCACTTTTTGTGTACAGTCAGAATCTCTCCAGGAGTAGCTTGTACCCATTACCCTTCCTCTTTTCCATGTAACTCTTTGTAAAAAGGGGGTCTCCATCATCTATGTAGCCACTCTTTAAATACTGGAACATGGTTATAGGGTCTCTTTTAAGCCTTCTTCTCTCAAGGCTGAACAAGCCTGGTTCAACCAGCATCCAGTTGGCTTTCTTTGCTGCAGCTCCATACTGTTCACTCATGTTGAGCTTGTTGTCCATGAGGACCCCCAGATCCCTTTCCACAGAGCTGCTGCCCAACCAGGTAGATCACAGTATGTGCTGCACTCCTGGATTATATTTTCCCATGTGCAAGACCTTACACTTGTCTTTGTTGCACTTCATAAGGCTCTTGTTAGCCCACTCTTCCAGCCTATCCAGGTCTTCCTGCAGGGTGGCTCTCCCTTCTGAAGTGTCCACTTCCCCACTCAGTTTGGTATCGTTGGCAAACTATGTCAGGGTACACTTGATCCCATCTTCCAGATCACTTCCGAAGATAATAAACAGCACTGAGCCCAATATCAATCCCTGAGGGACCTTACTTGTGGCAGGTTACGAGTTTGAAAGGACCAGTTTAGCACCATTCTCTGGGTGCTACCTGCCAGCCAGGGCCTCACCCACATTGGCCTAGACCACAAAAACATAAATTTCTCTAGGAGGAGACAGTGGGAAACTGTATCGAAATCCTTGGAGAAATGCAGGTAGTCAGTGTCCACTGCTCACTCCACATCAGCTGAGCAGGTTACTTTGTTGTCGAGCACGATTTGCCTTTGGTGAATTCTTGCTGGCTTTTCCAGTCATGTTTTTCATTTTGACTTCACACCACCTTGGAGATGCCACTTTCTGTATTGATGCAGAGGAATTTGATAGGGCTCCCACAAACATGGAGCATGACTCCTCCTTCTCTTCTTCCCTGCCTCTCTTTATCAAACAGCCTACAGCCACCCATTGTGATCCTTCAGTCGTGTGATTTGTCTCACCATGTTTCAGTTATTCCCATTATATCATAACTTTCTGTCTGTGCACAGAGCTCCAGTTCCTCCTGGTTGTTCCCAGGCTGTGTGCGTTGCTAAACATACACTTGAGGTGGCTGGTGTTCTGGTTCTCATCTTGGGAGGCAGCTAAGGGACATTTGTTGCTGCTCTGGTTGGCCTGGCTTATTCCCCAGCTGATTGCAATGGTGTGCGTAGCATTGCCACTTTGGACTCCCCGATTGCCCTGAGTTCTTCAGTTTAAAGCCCAGCTCACCAAGTTGGCCAGTTTGCTGCCAAAGATTCTTTTTCCTCTTCTTGGGAATCAAGAAGAATTCATAATATAAAAGGGACCTATTCATAATATAAAAGGGTGTAGACCCAGCTCCAGAACTTTGTGTTGTCTAGAGCTCTTTCTGGATCTAACTGTTATTCCTTGGTAATTTACGACAGAACCTTATGTATATATAAATATAATATATAAATTGTACAAACTGATGCTTTTTTAAAATCTCATTTAATTTTCCTGTATGTTGACTCTTTATATACATTGACCAAGCTGTTTAATACACTAATACTTCAACATTTTAAATTGCGTTACTTTTTAATATTTAAAAATAATATATAATTTAATGGAGATAGTTATTAATACAAAGATGGAAAACATAGGTTATAATGTTCTAATCTGTCAAAAAATAACAAAGCCTTTTATCCACTAGGTGTTAAGAGTGTACAAAGCTGCAGTACAACAGACTTTGGATATACTCTTTCTCCCTGAAGGAAGAGAGTTTCTTACAAGCACAGATGCAGTAAGCCGAGACTCAGCTGATCGTACCATCATTGCATGGGATTTCCAAAGTGCTGCAAAAATCTCCAACCAGATTTTTCATGTAAGATTAACAACTAGTATTGTTAAGGTCATGTTTTAGTATTTCATGCTTGTCAGTGTAGTAAAAAAAACCTTTTGATTTTCAATAAGATCATCATATGATGTATAAGATGCTCTTCGTGTAAGTTGATGACTTGCTTTATTTTCACATGTAGCACTTAATTGTTCTTAAAAAATGACCTTGAAGACTGAGAGATCTCCTCGTGTTTAAAATATTTGCATTTCAATGTTAATTCACTGACATCTGAGCTATATTTAGGCAAGGACTCTGCAGTGTCATTCTAGTTTGCCAGCGGTGCATGGCAGGAGTTGCTATAGTGCCACATTTCTTTTCCCACACTTTTTCATACATTTTTCATCAGCTGCACTGAGGGCTATTGAGAAGTTGAGTTTAATATTCACATAGTAATAGCAACCTGATACCTGCATACAGATACCTAGTACAGCATAATCACAGGGGCAAAATTTGCGTTTATCAGTGCAGGTGCAGTGTTTCTCTCAGTCATCTATCCAAGCAAGACATTTCATGGACTAAATTGTCTAGAAAGACTAACGGCTTCAAAGGAGATTACCAAGGAAGTTAATAGATAATTTCAACTCCCTGGGTCTTTTTTGAAAACCCAGGTCTAATATCCTATGTAATATAATATGATTGGATTGTATATAGATGCTTTTTGGCTAAAATGAACAGTTCTCTGCTGACAAAGACATATAGCTGATAATTTAATGGGATTGTTTAATGTTTAATTTCCATAGTTATGTCTTTGTCTTTGGATCTATCAACATCTTCAATAGACAATCGGTAGAAAAAAAATCCAACTGTGAATATATAAATTACAGACCAGACAGGTTCAGCATCAAGGAGCAACAAATAAATAAACAATCTGCCCCCGCCCCTTCTCATGACTACAGCGTCTCTGAAATGGACTTCTCACCTACACTCCCTTTTCTGCACTGTGAATAAACAAAACTTGTAATGATTTTGCACACTCTGCTTCACTTTTCTGAATTTCACTTTTGAAACCTTCTCCCACCTTCGAGGTGGGAGAAAACCCCTCATCTCTCCAAACAGAGTAGATCCCAACTTGATCTATTGCTTGTGTGCATTAACAAATGAATAGTTAAGAGCTCTAAAATAATCCATTACTACAGCATCCCCAGCATAACAGCACAGTGCTCCTGCAGATTGCATTGTGCTTTCTGATCCCATACTGTTAGACCCAGTTTCTTCCTGGAAACACATGCAGTGCATTGTGCCCAATACCTTATGGTACCCAGAACTTCCTTCCCAGTCCTTCACTTCCAAATCACACTACAAAACCAGTCTGATGTTCTTCCTGCTCTACCATATAGCCCATGGTGTCCTGGTGTTCTTCACATGCAGATACATCCCACTTAATTTGTATTCATGGTATCAAAATTCAGCACTGTATCTTTAGGTTAGGCTGAAACTAGAAGAGGTTTGGACCTAGTGGAAGCCTTGTGAGAGCAGTTGATTTCTGATGGAGTCCCCATGCAGAGTTCTGGAAGTAATCTTGATTCAGTCTTAAATAGGAACTCTAGAGTAAAACCAAGTTTTAATTAATTACTGCAGATATTTATGGATTTACAGCCAGCAGCAGCCTACATCACTGTCATAAGGAGGCTAATAATGATCCTTTTTATTCTTTTTTTTTATAAGAGTGAGGTGAAGAAATGTGTCTCTTTCAATGAGATAGTTTCTGTTCCTGTCAGTGTGACCAGAACTGAGAGGATGGAGGATTTGAGAACTGTACAAAGTAGCATGGAAAGCACAGTATAACTGTGGAGGAAGGGATGTGGGAGAAGAGGATTCACTTTCATGTTCAAACTTTGGTTTTCCTTGGCAGGAAGAGGATGATTGAGAACCATCTGGTTGAAATTATCTTTCTTCAGTTGTTCTGCAGTATAATTATGGTTTAGAGAGATATGGGATTTTGGTCAATATGTAGGAAATTGAGGTAGAGATTGATTTAGTATTTGTCTTGATGTAGGACTTTCAGTGGTTTGTAATGAGTTAAGTAACTTTATATAATGTATGCTATGGAAAGGACTTATGTATAATTTGCCTTTTATGGGCTCTCAAATATATCAAAAGATAACTTGAATCATTTGAGCAAATCTTTTGTTTCATACAACAAAACTTTCTTTAAAATTATTTTCAGGAGCGTTACACTTGCCCAAGTCTGTCTCTGCACCCAAAAGAGTCTGTGTTTGTTGCTCAGACAAATGGAAACTACATGGCTTTGTTTTCTGCACAGCGACCATACCGGATCAACAAAAAGAAAAGATATGAAGGACATAAGGTATCCTTCTTCACCAGGAACTCAGTATCCAAGTTTAAAAGAAAGATAGATAGCAAAGTACCTCTGCTTCTTAATATATCTGCTAATAATGTTTTATTATAAATCAGTGATAGATATTAATTGGTTTCATTTGCTTTCCTGTGTGCCAGTGTATTTTGAATCATATGCACTCTGAAGAAAATAGTTATTACAAGACTTTATGAATGCTTAATAGCTTGATTAAATAAGTTTGTAGTATAACTGTGTCTTAATAAACACCTGGAGAAGTCTTTAGTGTATATTTATTTAAAGATACATTTTTTTGGTCCTATATTAATTTTCAGTATACCACAATGAACTTTTCTAATCAGCATCAATAGTTACACTGTTATTGATTTTCACAGGTGGAAGGATTTGCAGTGGGCTGTGAATTTTCTCCAGATGGAACACTTTTGGTGACAGGAAGTTCAGATGGCAAAGTGTTTTTCTACAACTATCATACTTCTAGGATTATTCGCACTTTGTCTGCACATAAAGAAGCTTGTGTGAGTGCAATATTTCACCCAGTCTTGCCATCACTCCTTGCAACCTGTGACTGGGCTGGAGAAATCAAGATCTGGCAATAACAAGGAGGGTTAATTTTCAGGATGTCTTCTGTTAGTCTGTCAAAGGCTTAGGAAATAAACCAGGTTATGCAATGTGAATTTTTGTTGTGATGTGTTGTAAGCAGGAGAGAGAGTCTTTTCTACTATGACCTCTAAGTGTATGCTTTCATAATGCGGTGAAGATGGTCTTGTGGTTAACTGCTGAGCAAAGAGGTGGTCCTACTCTCTCCCTCAGCCCTGGTGACAAATTTCTGACCCTTTCGTGTCAATCTTCTGGTGCTCGTCTAATCCAACCCTGGTTTGAGTACCTAAATTTAAGAAAATTATTGCTTTTATTATGTTATCTTTTCAATGAAGTTTTCTTAAACCAGGTTTTGTCATAGAGTCATTTACATTGGGAAAGACCTTTAAGATCATCAAGTCCAAATCTCATACTCAGAGATGCAAGGAGGGCCATCAATAAAACCTCTATGCTGGACTTCTGGAGGGCAGATTTCGGCCTATTCAGAAGATTGGTTCAGAGTGCACCCTGGGAAACAACCCTTGAAAACAAAGGAGTCCAGGAGGGATGGACATACTTCAAGAAGGAGGTCTTAAATGCACAGGAGCAGGCTGTCCCAGCAAGCTGGTGGGGAGATTTTGAAGGAATTTAGGAATTATGGAAAAGAAGGCTGGCTACTCAGGAAGAGTTTAGGAATGTAATTAGGTCTTGTAGAAAGAAAATTAGAGAGGTGAAAGCAAAACTTGAACTTAATCTTGCCGCTTCTGTCAAAGATAACAAAAAGTCTTTCTACAGATACATCAATAGCAAAAGGAGGGACAAGGAAAACTTCCATTCTTTATTGGACATGGGCGGGAACATAGTTATCAAAGATGAGGAAAAGGCTGAGGTATTTAACACCTTCTTTACCTCAGTTTTCAACTGTAAGACAGGTTGTGCTCAGGACAACTGGCTTCAAAAGCTGGTAGCCTCCCTGTAATCCAGGAGGAAACAGTTAGCAACCTGCTGAGCAGCTCGGGTTCTCACAAGTCTATGGGACCAGATGGGATCCACCCAAGAGTGATGAGGGAGCTGGCAGAAGAGCTTGCCAAGCCGTTCTCCATCATCTATCAACAGTCCTGGCTTGCTGGGGAGGTCCCAGATGATTGGAAGTTGGCAAATGTCACGCCGATCCACAAGAAGGGCTGGAAGGAGGACCTGGGAAACTCCAGGCCCATCAGCCTGACCTCAGTACCTGGCAAGGTTATGGAGCAGATCATCCTAGGTGCAATCACACAGCACCTACAGGATGGACAAGGGATCAGACCCAGCCAGCTCAGTGTTTAGGAAGGGCAGGTCCTGTCTGACCAACCTGATCTCCTTTTATGATCAGGTGACCCACCTAGTGGATGAGGGGAAGGCTGTGGATGTGTCTACCTGGACTTCAGCAAGGCCTTTGACACTGTCTCCCATAGCATACTCCTGAAAAAGCTGGCAGCCCATGGCTTGGACAAGGGCACTCTGTGCTGGGTTAGGAACTGGCTGGAGGGCCGGGCCCAGAGTGGTGGTGAACGGGGCTGCATCCAGTTGGGATCCGGTCACTAGTGGTGTCCCTCAGGGATCAGTGTTGGGCCCAGTTCTGTTTAATATGATCTGGATGAGGGGATTGAGTCCACCATCAGCAAATTTGCAGATGACACCAAGCTGGGGGGGAGCGTCGATCAGCTGGAAGGCAGGAGGGCTCTTCAGAGGGACCTGGACAAGCTGGAGAGTTGGGCTGATTCCAACGGGATGAGGTTCAACAAGGCCAACTGCTGGATCCTCCACTTTGGTCACAAGAACCCTGCAGTGCTACAGGCTGGGGACAGAGTGGCTGGAGAGCAGCCAGGCAGAAAGGGACCTGGGAGTTTGGATTGACAGGGAGCTGAACACGAGCCAGCAGTGTGCCCAGGTGGCCAAGAAGGCCGAGGGCATCCTGGCCTGGATCAGGAACAGTGTGGCCAGCAGGACCAGGGAAGTGATTCTTCCCCTGTACTCAGCGCTGGTGAAGCCACACCTGGAGTACTGGGTCCAGTTCTGGGTCCCTCAGTTCAGGAAGGACATTGAGGTGCTGGAGCAGGTCCAGAGCAGAGCAACCAGGCTGGTGAAGGGACTCAAACACAAGTCCTACGAGGAGAGGCTGAGGGAGCTGGGGCTGTTCAGCCTGGAGAAGAGGAGGCTCAGGCGAGACCTCATCACTCTCTACAACTACCTGACAGGAGATTGTAGCCAGGTGGGGGTTGGTCTCTTCTCTCAGGCAACTATCAGCAAGACAAGAAGCTGCGCCAGGGGAGGTTTAGGTTGGATATTAGGAAGAAATTCTTTACAGAAAGGGTAATCAGGCATTGGAATGTGCTGCCCAGGGAAGTGCTGGATTCTCCGTCCCTGGAGGTTTTTAAGATGAGACTGGATGTGGCACTTAGTGCCATGGTCTAGTAACCACGGCAGTGTTGGATCAAGGGTTGGACTTGATGATCTCAGAGGTCCTTTCCAACCTGGCTGATTCTATGATTCTATGATTAACCCAGCACACAAGTCCACCACTAAATCACATTTCAAAGTGTCACATCTACAAATCTTTTAAATACCTCCAGGGATGGTGACTCAACCACTTCCCTGGGCAGCCTGTTCAATGTAATGACTCTTTTGCTGAAGAAATTTTTTCTACTATCCAATCTAAACATCCCCTTTCAGAACTTGAGGCTGTTTCCTCTTGTCCTCATGAAAAGTTGAGGACATACTATTTAACAGAGGATGATGTTCAGATCAATTAATGCCTATTTCATCTTCCCAGGATTTTTTTTCCCACTACTTTAAACTAGTTTAGCTCCCTGACCTGATCACTGAAGGGTTAGAGTAGCAATACTTTTATGCACAAGAAGGGGGAAGATCACAGAGCAGGTGGGACTGCTTCTTCTGGGTATGAGTAGTCTCTTATCAGCTCAACTTACTGTAAAATGCCTTCTGAGGGTTTTAGAAAAGGGTGTGACAGATGACTTGAACCAAATATTGAAGTAAATTCATTTGTGTTTTTGAAATCCTGATGTTTAAACTTCAATGTATGACTGTATATAAACAAAATGAAACTATGTACAAATATTTCTGAGGAACAATAAACTTTGTTTTAATACATTATGTATCTATTCATTAGTTTACTGCTATTATTCTTGACAAGTTAGTACACAAAACTATAGTGGAATTGATGCTTGGGGGAAAACAATTAACATTACATTAATTTATTGCAAAAACATATGCATATGTCCATACTTATTGATGTCACTTAGACACAGAAAATTGTCATCATACTATTCTGTGCAGGGGATGGTTTTTTGACATTCAGACAGGAGCTTGGCAATTCTGCAGCAAATAGAAAGTTCATTAGGCCATCATTGTGTATTTACATTGTAAATACAAAATGTTTGTTTGTTTGTAAGTTTGTGTTCCCTGCACTGGTGTTGCTTGGTTCTATAAAATATTTTATATGTGTGTGTGTTTGTCTATGAAAAAAAAAAAAGTCTATACTTCACATAAAAAACATATTCCTGACCTTGACTCCCTATAAACATGTTCACCTTGTAGTGAGTGCTGTAAGCATGGCTTATGTTTGGTCTGGTTAGTCTATAAAAGCATTTTAACATATACAGGATAATTGGGTTGAGTAAATTGTCTCTGTCATGAAATCCAGAAGCCATATATAGTAGCAACTTTTCCATCCTTTTATTCTTCTTTTTGCCACAAATGAAGGGGGTTTATATTTGTTTTTCACATGCTCAGTTAAAAAAGCTTTTTTGGAGAAAAATTTTCTGAATGCTCTTGTAAATGGCAGATTTTAATTAATTAATGAGCAAAATGTGATCCACTGGTTTGTGGTTCCTTATTGCTTGTAGTAAGAAGTAAGCCTATAGCAGGATTGTGAATCCAGTTGTATTGTTTGCAGTCTGGACCAAGATATTGAGGCTGCATGGTTTTAATCATCTTATCAACAGTTACGATGGGTCTTAACACAGGGCGTTAAATTTAAGTGAACCATGCAATGTAGCAAGGCAACTTTTTTTTCCCCAAACTGTCCTTAATTTCTTGCTTCCTTGTTCAGCAATTAGGTGTTTGACAGGAGCCTGAATTCTGCACTTCTCTTGACTCTGCCTCTAGTATACAAGTCAGCTGTACCTTTAAATGAAAACTGGTTCAGTGATTTTGAGTTATTCCTAATTCAGGTTGTGGGATCTTCATAAATGTCAGAAGGAGATGAGCTGGAAGTGGTTATTGGCACAACACTGGGCAGGTGGAATCCCAACTGCATGGGACTGACTCTGTGTCCTTCCCTACAGGTGTTTTAGTTCAAAATGTGCTATTGTCATTTTAAAACTTCTGGCAGCTGTATCTGTCTATATGAAGGATGGGCAGCACTGTTGCATCTTAGTGTCTCCATAGGAGATTATCTGTCTGTTATTTTATGAAATACAAAGTTTAGAAAGGCCTCTGAAATAAATGTGAATTCATGGTAGAAATGCCTTATTGGATGAAGCCTGAGCTTATGTGAACTCTGCTCTATACTGAAGGAGCTCTCAGAACCTTCAGCCTCAGCTGAAAGCATGAACGTGTAAAGTCCTGAAAGAATAGCACTGGGTAATCATTGCATATATTGCTTAGAAAAGTAACTGTGTTTTATAAGATTACCCTTGTTGTTGCTTAAGTTCAGCTTGTGTGCTGAGGCATGATTCTGGTGTCTAGCATTTATCCCTCCTGAAATTATCTTGAAAGTATAAATTTTAGACTGTTTGGTGGTAGAGAGGGAGGGAAAAGCTTAAATTTGATTAAAGGCAGTAGAGAAAAGTAAAAGAAACTTGAAACTTTATAATCTTAAAGAATATTAAAATTAGAATTGCATTTGTGTCAGATTTCCAAGATGGCTGGAGTTTAATTACTTATGAGATCCAGCCAAAGGTTTTATAATGCAATGAAATTATTTTCACAGCATTATCTTGTTAAAATCTCTTTCTAATATAAACCTGATTAAGACACAGACTGAAATTTAGTAATTGGAAATATTTTAGAATAGTAGTGTCAATTAAGTTTTTGTTATGATGCAAAGACAAATTCTTCCTTGTTATCTTATGTAATGAACTGTAATCAAAAAATATCCACATTACTCCATCATTCTGCAATTACCAAATACTGTTTGGGCTGCAAACAAGGATTATTACGGTCAGATGAAGCTTTTAAAATGTAATGAATTGTTGGTTAATTAATTTTATTCATAAAATTGTAATCTAGAAATTTTTGAATCTTGCTTTAGGAGCAGTTCTTTTAGCTTTATTTAGAGCTCTCTAGGGCATCA